GGGTCTGAACTTACATTGACGCATTGAGTTGAGCAGTCGTAGTCGTCAGCGCATCTCTTCCATGCGGTTGTGACGTCTTCGCCATTCTTACGGCCAGGCGTGCCGCAGTCCTCGTAGTATGGCAGTTTGATCTGAAAACGTTTGGCTTAGATCGTATAGGCTTCGTGATTGGAACGTTCGGCTGCCCATTTTGGCTGACCTGGTAGTAACCGCATGACAATGATCCGACGTCCATCTCACAGCCAACAGGCTTGCATCCAGACTCGTGGAGGCAAATGCAGTGGATGCATGTGTCGGCCGAAGCGACGTAAACTGTAATATCGCATAGTTATTCATTCGATTCAAGCAGAAGAATAAGGTCTAGAAACGTACCCAGGGAGACGGCGAGAAGGAGCTTAGCGATCATTTTCGAGGCTGTGCTCGTTTCAAGGCTGTTTTATACACATGAAAGACGTCACGACAAGATAAGAACTCAGATAGCCGAAATACCGACGCTTTCCTTTGTTGATAGCATGATTGGGTGCGGCCCAACGCATGAACAGCCTTTTTGGCTATTTCAGCAATGGATCAAGTAACACGATTTTTTCGTGAAATATCTGCTTCATTAGAAGATACAACAAAAGAAAAAGAAAAAAAAATCTTCACTCAAATGCTAAAGTAATTGTCTCAGGTTTTTTTCCTGAAATGAGGCCTATCACCCAAAGTCATAGATGAATTGAAGTTACCCTAATGCTAGTTTTTGGGGAAAATTGTAATATTACCTGCACGTCATACTTTGAAACCATACTGCTGATTTCAACAGCTCTATAATTGTTTAAAGTTTGTAGCCGACCTGTTTGAGCTATTCCTAGGTTAAGAAGGTTTGGAGTGATTTTTATTGATAGTATTGCCATTCACCATTACCCTCACTGGTCGGGAGTCTTTGAATGTTTCTCTTCAGGGAACCGATTTTGATCTTCCGAGTGTTTCAAACATTTCTGAGCAGTCTTTTTGGCTATCGGATCCTTCCTCCTCCGCCAGTCGAAGCGGTACCTTCTAGAGGTAGTGTAGCAGGCGGAAATTCTTCAGCTTGGGTTAGCCCGTAAAAATTGAAAAAAAAACAAAACTCTCATTGTTTCATATGGCAATGTAACCCACTATACGGAAGTCGGAGCAAGACCACTAATTTGCAAATTCAACTGTCAAGACTACCAGTAAAAAATCGAGGTCTGCTTTCTACGATAAAATGGTGGTCCCTTCGCACTAAGCTATTGTCTCGAGCTCTTTTTTTCAATCTTCTGTGTTAATTGAACATTATATCGATCAATTGGACCTAATTAAACATCGTTTCCTAAATTGTAGAACAAACATTGCAAACTTCACTTGCATTCTTGATCCTCCATTTTCTGAGTCTGAAAGTACCATACCGCAGTCTGGAAGCTAAGCCGATTCGAACGCGAATTGTTGCAGAAAACTACTCCGAGCGTTAGAATGATTTGAGACAAATGCATGGCGTACTCGAAAGGAATTACTTACATAAATCTGATAACCTACATACTCGTTATCCTTGAAAGGAAAACATTTCTCTTCTGTGGTGTCGCTTTCATGACTGAGTCAATTACTGGTCATCCATACTCATTGAAATTCACAGACCGATCCCATTGAAAATGATGAATCAGCCGATGGTAAAGGTGTGCAAACAGGCATATTCGATCCGATGAAAGCCCATAGCAAAACAGCTATTGTGCAACGCGGTGAGCCCAGACGGCTTTTGTTACTATGCGGTACGAGCTCGTTTTACTGATTCTCATCAGTAAGTTTTTATTAATTGTTATCCTATTATCCTTAACGAATTCCCCATACATTCTTTAAGACATTCGCCAACTCACTGAGTCATAAACAATGTCAACTGCCTTTATTGAACGGCTGAATGCACCCTCAAAGTCGCTCTGTAGCCCATTTTCAGCTGAAGAGCTCGAATCTTTGAAACTTTAAGGTCTTAGTCCCTTGTTTTACAATCATGGAGCTCACTTCTCTCTCGATGAATAGAAAAGTGGTGTTTCTCTATAGTAGCACAGCGGTGTAGTTCATCACCTAGAAGAACCAAACCCTATAACTTCGTACAACCACTATCCGCAAGAGTCTCCTACCCCTCGCTCTGTGGTCGTTCCCAACGAGAGGTGAGCACGCAAGACACATCCTTTTTGTATCTTCTTCAGGTGAACCTGCTTAGAAATTCATGAAAACGTTTTTTGAAAGGTTCAAAGGTTCACACTGAGAAAATAATAGGCTTTAACAACAGGACAGTTCCCTTTCTTCCATTCCTCCCTTGCTCCCTCCTCTGTTATTCTCCCAGTGCAGATGGAAGGAACAAACAACAAGGAAGATGCTATCGATCACCTCAATGCGAATTTATAATTTACAAAATCTTTTTTTCGCTAGTTGCTCAACTCGAGGCCATTTTGGAATGTCCTAAAGGCTCGTTGCCATTCGATCTGGATGAATGCGATCCCAATCGGAGATCGCAATGCCCCAGTGGATTTACTTGCAGGTACACAAGTTCATGTATTGACTCAGTCTTGAACCTTATACAAGTTGCAAACTCGAGTAACTAACACAGAACTTTCTCTGGTACTTCAAATTGAACTGTCAGGTCTCTGAGCAAAGTGGTAGTCTCTGAGATATTGTTTTGAATTAATTTAGCCCCAACTGGAATTAGAACACCAGAATATCTGGATGGGATGTCATTTTAACTTTTGATTAAGTTTTTTGTTCAGGTATGCCAACGATACGGACAATCCAGAAAGGAAACTTCATTTGTGTTGCGCAACAGAGCAAATGACCATTGAAGATTGTAAATATTCTTTCTTACTCAC